AATAGAGGTCCCTTGTATAGCTTGTAAAAAGAAGCGATTTTAGAAGGGTACCAGCTGTGACCCTGGTCATGGATCAGGTCCAAAAACAGACCAGAGTGAGGATAAAGGTGTTGTCCTTCCCTTTTACACATCTTCAAATACAAACAACGAAACATGCTCCTACATACATATCATCATGACTACGTCATAGAAATATCAAATTTTATCTTTTGACATACATGGGGCATCTCTAGGCATGTCTCAGCATTTTATCTATCCAAAAAGCAGCTTGCAGCAAGTGACAGATACTTTGGTCTACTCGCTCTTTACAGGACGAAACTAGCTTTGGCCCACTGACTCTAACAGGCTCCGGCCTACTCACTCTCCTCAGGACGACACTAACTTTAGCCCACTGTATCCAACAGCCTTCAACCTACTCACTCTCCTCATGATGTTACTAGCTTTGGCCCACTGATTCTAACAGGCTTCAGCCTACTTGCTCTCCTCAGGACGACACTAACTTTGGCCCACTCACTGTAACAGGCTCAGGCCTACTCACTCTCCTCAGGACGACACTAGCTTTGGCCCACTGTATCTAACAGGCTTCAACCTACTCACTCTCCTCAGGACGACACTACTTTTGGCCCACTCACTGTAACAGGCTCAGGCCTACTCACTCTCCTCAGGATGACACTAACTTTGGCCCACTGTATCCAACAGCCTTCAACCTACTCACTCTCCTCAGAATGACACTAGCTTTGGCCCACTGATTGTAACAGGCTTCGGCCTACTCGCTCTCCTCAGGACGACATTATCTTTGGCCCACTGACTCTAACAGGCTTCGGCCTACTCACTCTCCTTAGGATGACACTGCCTTTGGCCCACTGACTCTAACAGGCTTCAACCTACTCACTCTCCTCAGGATGACACTAGCTTTGGCCTACTGTATCCAACAGGCTTCAACCTACTCACTCTCCTCAGGACGACACTAGCTTTGGCCCACTGATTCTAACAAGTTTTGGCCTACTCGCTCTCCTAAGGGTGACACTACCTTTGGCCCACTGATTGTAACAGGCTTCGGCCTACTCGCTCTCCTCAGGACGACATTACCTTTGGCCCACTGACTCTAACAGGCTTCGGCCTACTCACTCTCCTCAGGAGGACACTAACTTTGCCCCACTGACTCTCACAGGCTTCGGCTTACTCACTCCCCTCAGTCCTTGACTCACACTTTTGTAATAAAAAATACCCAGTTAATATTTAATATTTCTGACAAAATTTGCATGTCTTCAAGCCATTTCCAACCCAAGGTGACTCTATCAAGGTTTTTTTCTGGCAAGGTTTGTTCCGACGGGTGTTGTTTTGGCCTTTGGGTTTTCACAGCAGAGTGGGATTTGGACCCAGCTCTCTCCAGACCATTGCTGAAAGCACAACACCAAAAGCACAGAACAATTTCGAAGCAGAAAACAAAACCATGGAGGCCTTGGAAAAGTGTTAATCACAGGCCCCTGTTTCTGACAGGATAAATGCCACTTCCAGTCATGAAGAAGAAGTGAAATTTCCACAGCGCTTAAATAGATGCTTTACCGGGATGCGTTTTGGGACGAGAAGGGATGTGACTCTTTTTCCCTGATGGATATTTGCAGCCTTCTCCTTCCTTTTTTCTCAAATGTTTCAGTTGGGTGTTTATTTTCGTGCAGTGAAAAACAAAACCAATCTTTTATTCATCATCAGGCCTTTCGGTTCAGCGTTGTTCTTTCCCGGCCTCTCCGCTTCTCTCCGTGACATTTGTTTGTTTTATGCAAAAATTAGATAACAAACCCAATTCTCATCGCCCCTAATTAAGGAAGAAAACATTTATTTGAATCCCCCCCTTTTTTTTCCTGGGAATTCGGGCGTGCATGCAAGCTGCGTCCCATTCATCTTGATCATCACACCCGTTATTCCCCTGTTTGTCGTTCCTGTTTTCCGCTTTGCTTTTTCTCCATTGCGAATCCAGGCCGCTGAATTTAACAGTGTTTTTTCTTCTTCCTCCTCCTCCTCCTCCCTTCTTCTTCTTCTTCTTCTTCTTCTTCTTCTTCACATCTGTGGATTTTGGAAGAGTTTCCTCTCTAAAAGCCCCAATCCTTTTTGGTTCGGTTCCATTTGCCTCGTGGGCCTTGTTGCCGTCATGTTGTATTTCTTCATTAACAGAGTTGTTGTTCCCTGGCTTTTCTTCCCAAACCTTTTTCTTCCTTTATGGGCTCCTCTTAATGAATTTTAATGCCTTGCTTAGTCTTCCAAGGCAAGGTGTTTAATCTGCCACTGAGCACCTTTTCCCTTCCTGGCGCAGGCTTTTCTCCTCTGATTCCCAGCCCAAGGGGGCTTCTTCTAAGTCCTTTTCTTCCTTGATCAGTATTGTGATCCTCCTCCATGGCTCTTTTCACCTTCTTCTTATTCCTCCTTCAATTAAATACATCCCGTGGGTGCTTTACACCTGCATAAGATCAAGTTTTTTTTTCCTCCTGCAGTTCATGTGGGGATTGTGGAAGCAGAGGGAGATGGCATGCAAGTCTGCTTTTGCATTGAATC